GGGCCGCTGCTGAGCCGGCCGGGGTGGCGGGGGCGAGCGCTAGCCGAGCCCCTCCCACCTTGCCCCGGGGCAGGCGAGCAGCGCCCGGGAACCTCCTCTTAGCCAGCAGCCCCGCCAGCGCCACCCCCCGCGGGCTGCAGGGGCTAATGCAGCCGCCAAGGTAAGCGCGGGTCGGCCGCGGGGCGGACCGGGCAGCTGACATCCCCTAGGCGCCGCGACACTTGCCAGGGCTATGGCACTGCTTTGGTCCTCCCCTACCCCGCTCTCATTTTACTCCCTGCATGTTGGAATTGAGTCGACAGCAGTGTGTTTGGTTGTTTTGGGTTTTTTGCCTGGATTTGGAGCTTTACTTCACCGCGATCGCTTTAGCGCTCGGCAGGAAACTTTGTGTGGTTTGGTATTTGCGCTTTTTTTCCTAACACGCTCTCCCCCGACAGCCGGCAGCGCGCTTAGTTGGGGAGACCCGGCGCACGTCCCTTCCACTGTGTACTAGCCGGGCAGTCACTTTCTCCGGCGCTGCAGCCTCCTCTTTGGGTGGTCGCTCCGCCCGGCCTGCGGAGCTGCAGACGGAGCCGGCCACTTGGCTGTCCCGCGGTGAACCCCCATTGGCCTGCGTCGCCCGGGCCCCCGCCTCCTGCTCTGCGCCCGGCCGCGCAGGCCAGCTGCGAGCCCCGGGGTGAGCACCTGCCCCCGGGGGCGTCGGCGCAGCGCACCGTGCGGCGCGAGTTAGAGCAACCCTCTGCCTGGGCGCCCTGGGGCGCAGGGAGGTGCGGGACTTAGGTTGAGCGCTAACAGTTGGGATTCCCGAGCAACGCTGACATCCCTAAGGGGATGGGTGGACAGGGCACAGCGACGACTCTGTGCCTGGCTTGCACCTTCGCGCATCCCAGGAGCCGGCTGGGACGGGGGACAGGTGTATTTAGGGGGAGGGCTGACGTGGGGGGACGCTCGGATGTAATCCTTGATTGCAGCCTGTTAATGTAATTGCACTAGATTTGCTCGGAGGTAGAATCAATTCCCCAAATTGAGATTTTAATGGGCGTTTGCGAGCTGCTATTATGTGGTGTGGTTTCAGAAGGCGTTGGATTGTATTTATTTTATAAATTGGATGTCTTGCGGACGGATTAGGGGACGGAGCGCCATCTAGCGGAAATGGTGAGCTGCAAATTCCTTTTAAGCTCCGAAGTTGGGTGTTCTCAAAGTAGAAGACTCCCTAACACGCCGAGTGGGGAGGTGGGGAACTAGCCCCGGAGGCCAGGAAAGACAGTTTCCGTGTATCCACGGTCCTGCCGAGCTCAGCACACCAGGCGCCAGGGACAGAATCGCGGCTCCCACTGAGTATCGAGCTGTCAAACCACGGAGCACCGTCACTTTGCACATTGGGCTTTCGTTTCCTCGGACAAGAACACGTTACCTGCCGTAAGATGATGTCCCTTTTTCGAGTGTCTATCTTAGAGATCCCCCAAAACCTGTGCATGGACCTTGCTCTTCTCCCATGTGTCACAGACTGGTGATTTTTCAGGTGGCTCTTGAGCCGTGAACACTTGAAAGAGCTTGTCTAATCTGGAGGGCAGCTGAAGGAGAGCTGGGGAAGGGCCTCTTGCCAGTTTCTGCAAGGAGAGAACATTTTTTAGAAGAGCTGACTCAAAATGATGTTTTTGTAGATACAGAAGAGTGATTTCCTGCTGTGCCACTCCCACACTAGGTGACAAGCAAGCCCCCAACCCAAACCCACTGCCGTTGGTCAAGCGCATTCTGACTCATAGCGACCCTGTAGGACAGAGTAGAACTGTCCCAGAGGGTTTTCAACGACCCTGTAGGACAGAGTAGAAGCCGACTGCCACATCTTTCTCCTGCGGAACAGCTAGTGGTTTCGAACAGCCGACCTTTCTGTTAGCCACCAAGCATTTTAACCACTGTGCCACCAGGGATCCTTTTTACAAGGACGGTGATCTCCAGTTAACAACTGGGCCATACTTTACTGGTGACAAGCAGAAAGGACAAAGGCTCTGTCTGGGTGGGGTGCCCACTCGTTCACAGGGCTCCGTGTTCTCTGTAGCTGGGTTTTGCTGCCACCTTCCAGGTCAGATGATATTAGCAGTGAGCTGGCTTCTTCCTATTTGAAAGGGCACGTTGGTTCCTTTTGTAGGGCAGCATGGTGTTCTGTTGTAGTGAAGACCTTTTGCCCCTTGAGATGCTCTGAGCTGTGGGATTGCTAAGTGAGGTCCCTGACTCCTTTTCTCAAGCTCTTGGCTCCCAGCATTTCCCTACCAAGTGACAGACACAGGTGCTTACACTCAGAATAGACACATAGGGTGGTGGATGGCTTATCCCGTTACTGCCCACGCTGCCTCACGATCTCTCCATTCACAGGGGTTTATTAAGTAACCAGACCTGTGACGAAAGGGGTCTTACAGTAATCTGGCATCTTTGTCAGGGAGGATGTCTCTGACCTTTGCTTAGAAACCTGTCTGCTTTCTCTCCTTACACACCCTCCCAATGCATGGGCTGCTGCCTTCGCAGAACCCATTGAAAAACCCGCTGCTGTCGAGTCAATTCCGACTCATAGCGACCCTATAGGACAGAGTAGAATTGCCCCAGAGTTTCCAAGGAGCGCCTGGTGGATTCGAACTGCCAACCTTTTGGTTAGCAGCCGTAGAGCTTAACCACTACACCACCAGGGATTCCTGCCTCCGCAGGGTGTGTGATAATATAGAATGGAAGTGTGGTGAGCTCCTGTTTAACGTGACCCCTTGACTGGCTCTTCAACAGCCCTGTGTGGGGCAAATACAGGAATTCTCAGCTGAGGAGCTGCAAAGTGCAGTGAGTAGGTACTGAGCATCCCTGCCATTAGCACAGAGTGTTAAAGCCCCCCTCACGGTGAGCCTCGCTGCTCCAGGAAACAGGCAAGAACAGGAGCTATTATTTCCACTTCTCAGAAGACACTGATGCCCAGCGAGCCAAGGCATAGAATTCCCATAGCCAGGGTTCTGCTGGTCTGAAGTGTTTTGCCCCCTACAACCTCACTACCAAATGAATTAAACCCAAGCACTTGCTTTTACCAAGTACGGTAGCAAAATGTGGTCACACCTTAAAGCATGCAGTGTATGCTCTGTAAGGAGGCAATCACCGATCCATCCAGAAGTCTGCCGTCCAAGAAAAAAGACAGGACATACTCAAGTGAAATCAAGCAAAAACAAACAATGAGGACTGGGGACTATCAGAAACCAGTGCAGGCTAATTGGAGTCTGTTAGTTACATGAAATGAAAAGGCACTACCCCTTAAAGTTAATTATTCTATGCTTGACTTACATTATCTCAAAGATAAATTCAAATAACTTATGTCTGAGGTGTTCTTGGGGCTCTTTAGAAGAATAGCTTTGCTATTTAAACAAGTCATTGTTTATTCATTCAACAAACTTAACTGAACTTAAGTTTAACCTGAAGAAGGGAGGCTCCAAGCTTTCCTATCTCTCTGGTTTCCAGCCCCATTCAAATGACAAACCAAAAACCAAACCAGTTGTGGTCAAGTTGATTCTGAATCATGGCAACCCCATGTGTTGCACACTGGAACTGCGCTCCATAGTTTTCAAGGCTGTGACCTTTTGGGAGCAGATTGCCGTTGCTTTCTTCCAAATTCAAATGGCAGGGGCCTGTTTTTCTTGCTTTGACCAAGTGACAGCTCGATTTCAATGGCTCTTAGCAACAGAACTAGGAGAGTGCAGTGAACAGGGCAGTGGAAGAAATTAAGGACTGCCTTAATCAACCCACAAGTGTACATACAAGGTCAGACAGAAGTTGGTTTCCTTGGTGACAGATGAACAAGTCTTCTTTAAAAAGGATGCCTGGTTTCTTAGCTAGGTCTGTCCTATAAGCAGAAAATGCTGGATTGTATTAGAACCTAGGGGTCAGGAGGTAAGAATGCCTAACGAGTGTGAAACTTTAAAATTCTAAGGGCAGGAGAAAGAAGAAGAAATTTTGAAATTTGAGCAGGAATAGACAAAATATATGCGAACATATTTTACAGCCCCATTAAAAAAATTTTTGTAAGTCACTGCTAATTGACAAACATGAAAATGCGCAGTGTCCCTCCCTGATTTAATACAATTGTTACATTCGGATTACTGCTGTAGGGAATGAAAGAATAGCAAATACAGTTTATGCAGGGAGTAATTACAGGATTGCTGGTGGAGTTTACATCTCGGTTTTCAATTGTTTGTTTAAAGCAATGCTACAGGATGCAGAACTTGCAGGGATCAAGACTCTCTGGATTTGCCAGAGTCTGAAAAGCAGGCCAAAACTTAAAAATCTTATCAACAATCTGGTTAAACAAGACCAAGTCCAGTGGATTCTGCATCCTCCACGGGTCAAAGCAGGTATCAGCAAAGCCTCTGAGTAAAAATGCCCCGGCACTTACTGACTTGTCTCATTAGGGCATGGTTTAGTAGTTAACATCTGTGGTAGTTCTCCTTATTTTTCATTTTTGCATCTTCCTAGACTGTCACCAGCAGTAGTAGACACATTCCTTGCTATCAAGTAGCACCTCAGACCTCTCAAAGAACAGACACCATTTTTTGGAATTACCTTTTTTTACATCAAGTCCTGTTTGATAACGCAGAGCTCTCTTCACTTGGGTGTTTGATGCCAAATCTTAGATCCAAGGTCTTGGCAACAACTTGCCCCGGCTGATGTGGTTGTTAGTGCCGTCAGGTAGATTCCGACTCATGGTGACCCCATGTGTGCAGAGTAGAACTGCACTTCATAGGGTTTTCAAGGCTGTGACCTTTTGGAAGCAGATCACCAGGCCTTACTACTGAGGCACTTCCAAGTGGTATCGAACAGCCAACCTTTCTATTAGTAGTCTAGTGCTTAGCCATTTGAGCCACCCAGGGTGACCCTGTAGGACAGAGTAGAACTGCCCCATAGGGTTTCCAAGGAGCCGCAGGTGGATTTGAACTGCCAACCTTTTGGTTAGCAGCCAAGCTCTTAACCACTGTGCCACCGGGGCTCCATTTCATTCACAATCATAAAAATTACAGGATTTCCTCAAAACAGTTGGTAACTTGAATTAACATTTGTTTGGAAGTTTTTGGTGTATGATGTCCTTTCGTTTAAATTTAATTTAATATCCTTTTGGAAGGAGGCGGTGTATAAATAATA